AAATAATCAATAAATGATTGATTGTATGGATAGAGAGTACGAGAATTAAAAAGATGACTGAATGGGAAACTCACCTAAAATAATGGGATAGAGTTTGGGATCGGTTTGGATGTGATTTCGGTTGAGTGCGAGCCTTGAAGTGACTCTATTGTCGTCAATACTTCTCTTCACGATCGATGAGATGAGAGAAACCGGTAAAACAATTAGCAATACAAATGTCAAACTCTTCATTGTATTCGTGAATCAATTGTAATATCGATTCAAAAGATAATAATTTTTAACTAATACTGAAAACACAAAGTCTGTGATAGAGTTGTCGTCAAATGCGCACTGATTTCACCCTTTTTTGTCAAAACTCACGAAACTATTGGACTATTTTTGGATCTTTTCATCGCTTTTCTGTTTTGTATGAGAAATGAGTTTCAAAACTACTGACACTTCTATTTGAAAGACGGACTCCGATTGTAATGTGAAGTTATTTTAGACGATAGGCTGTCCTTCCCTTTCATAACAAATACTATCATTAGCTAAGAATCAAACCATTTGTTTATAAGTTCCTTATATTAAAACTCAATTATTTTCACATAAAAAATAAAATATTTTTGGCATTCAATTCATGTGATAATTCTGTGCTAAAGAATGTAAATAAAAGTTTAGTATATTTTCCACAAATAATTCCCGGATATCTGTAAAGGTTTATAACAAAAATATTCAAATTCTTAACCAAAAAACATGTGATTTAAATAAATTATATAAATTTTAAAGTTTAGAAAAACACTATTTAATTGGATTTGAATTGAAAGTGACTTACATTATATTATTAATCTTTTGACAAAATTCATAACATTTAACATAGTTTTGTTATCTTAAAATATTTTAAAATCCATTTAAGAGTGACTTTAAAAGTTAAATAAATATTATTTTAACAATAATTTTATTTATTTCTAAATATTTTGGAAAACTGTTGGCATAAAGAATAGATATTTTTGTTATCTTAAAATATTTTAAAATCCATTTAAGAGTGACTTTAAAAGTTAAATAAATATTATTTTAACAATAATTTTATTTATTTCTAAATATTTTGGAAAACTGTTGGCATAAAGAATAGAAAATTATATAATTTTTATCAAGTGGTTAATGAAAGAACTCTTAATTATAACAAATCTAAATATAAAGAAATGTCCATTAGATGTGCCCTCACATTATCGATCGAGCAATAAGTGTCTCAAACCTCACCAAAGATTTTACATAAGATTAATATTTAACACCAAATATATAACAATTAAACTGACAATTAAAATGATATAATGATAAATTAATAATGATGATAAAACAATATAACATCATCTAGGTCATTCACAATTAATTAATTTTAAATAATTTTATCAAAATTTTTGACAAAACTAAATATTTTTAAATGAAACTAAATAAAAATTTTAATTTAATAATGATAATTCCAGTATAGTTTATATTCAAGTTATTTTATTAATTAAAATTTTTAAAACTTTATATAAACAAAGAAAATATTTAAATATTTAATTAATTTTAATATCAAATAAAATAGTTTTAATTAAACTAAATTTTCAATAAAAAAAAGTGTGAATATATTCGTAGCCTATAAACAGATAGTACTGTATATAAGCGTTGGAAAGATAGAGATATAGTGGAAAGTTAAGGGAAATATTGCCATACTTTGCAATGTGTGGTAAATTTACCCAAAGTTTGCCAAACTTTCACTCTTTGTGTTTACATTTGTATTGAACACAAAAAGTAAACACAAGAACCAGAGATCCATTGAAAAGACAATTAATTATCGTATGAATCGTTGACTGCAATGGAAACGGAGGACTCTTTCGGTCAGTAAATCACTCGACAATTGAGTTTGTATTGAAAATTGCATTTCTTTGTCACCATTAGGTCCGTTGTCACCGACCAATCCGTTTGCCGACAAACTGGCCATGGATTTGGCCGAAGACGACGACAACGAGACTGTCATCGACTCGGACTTCGGCGACGAAGACATCGACCAACACATGCAAGACGTGAACCAAATCGAGAGAGTGTTGATCACTGAGAGTGAGACCAACTCTACGGACCATCGAAACAATGGTCTGCGCGGGAAAGTGGAGGAAGTGGTCGACGAACGCGAGACCGACGCCGAAGAGATCGTCGCTAATTGTCTGGACGACGACCTCCTCATGGGTTCCCAACTGTTGGCCAAGAAGTACAAGAAGAATGTTCTCAAAAGCGACACAAATGACGCCAAAGATTGTCACAAACGATGTCAACGAGACATTCAAAGAGAGAAAGACATCAGAGTTGGAGTGGAGTTGGAGTTGGAGTTAGAGAGACAGCAAAGGATTCATTTCCAGAAACTATACGAACATCACATGAGTTATTCCCTCCGCAAAGAGTTGGATGACTGCAACCAAATCAAGAGTTTAAAACTCGAGATCTTAAAGTGTAAGCAAGAGTTGCAAACATTGAAACGATCTCTAAGTGATGGCAATGATGTCGACCTGAGTTCACACATGGAATCAACGAGTGGTGAAACCAAAGAGGAATTTAATTGCGAGAACTGTAGCGAACACATGAAGACCGAGGCGTCGCTGATATTTCATCTCATTAACCATTGTATCGGCGAAGAAGAGTTCCGCTTAGAGACCACTGCCTTCAAGTTG